ATTATGAAAATAAGTGACAAAATCAGATGATGATGCTCCTTATTACTTACTTATGCTTCCTAATGAACATGGTGTGTCAGACAAAACTTAAATTTACTTCAAATTTATTTAAAAAAGATATTTGATAACAATAACAGCAATAATGAGAATGTTGATCGCAATTGAAATAAGGGAGTAAAGAGAAAGTTTATTTAATTTTTTAAGAGGATTTGAGGGTGAAAAAGTTTGTCGTTTAAGTTTATTTTTTGCTTATTGAAATACAAAATTATCTTGAATGAAAATATTGAATTTTAAGTATTTTCTTAAGTGTAACTTTGACATTAAAAACTCAATTTGTTATATGCAATTAATTAATTCCAATTTTGTTAAGCGAACGATAATCTAAATTAAATCATTTCCATAGAATCTAATTTTATAATTCAAATACATGGGAATATCATGAGTTAATATTATTTTTATACCTTAATGATTGTTTTAAAAAAAAATTCAAGGAAGTAATGAATCGAACAAAAATAAAATAAGTAGATTTGAAAAAGCTGACCTTTTCTATTCTTTTGCTTATAAGCTCAAAAGATGATTAAACCTACGAAGAAGATTATTGAATGGTAAGAACAAGATTATATAGGCTAAAGATTATACTGCTTATTTGTCAATGACATAAATCTATTTCCAAGTGTCATTTATTTCATTTGCTGATTTAAGAATCAAGCATTATTATTCAGTTACATGTTAAACCCAAGAATATAATAATCCTTTTGGTCAATTTTTAATCGCTTCAAAACAACTCATTCAAAATTACTAGATTTTATTGCATGTAGCTCTTAATTGAATCCAAACAAAATCCCAAAAATGTATGAACAACAAAAAAAAATCAGCAGACACAAAAAAGTGGAATAACATTTAATTTAAAGTCCTTAAACGAAACCATAGAAAGATAAATATTGCCCATTTGAATTTTAATGTCCATTTCATTACAGTTGGAAAATAGACTCATGTGTAATGCATAAAACAACCCAATCATCATTCGAAGTAATTGGGGGAAAGCAAAAACGAAGATGAACCTTTTATCGATTTTCTTCCTACTTTTTGCTGTCTCTTTTTCTTTAGTAAACAAATTTTTGAAACCATCAACTCATGTGTGAGTTAAAACATTCCTTAAAAGCTTTTTTCTTCTGTCAAGTACGACTTCAAAGTAGGAAAATTTTCGTTCTCATAAAATGATAAAAAATATTTATTTTATTTATTTTTCAACTCACAAAATTTTAAGATGTTGATGGAAATAAATGTAAAGTACATTATAGTATGTGTACATTTAAATGTAGGAAGAAGATTCTTCTGTGAAGCTGATGTTATTCTTATGACTGCTGATGTTTTTGTAGAGGGTTTGGAACTTGTTTAATTTAAAGCCAAATAAGTTGAACATTGAACAGTTATGCGATGTGTCTGATCAAGTCGTGAAATAGACACATGTATTTCAGGCAATCTTCAAATAAGTGATCCAAAAAATGAGGGAATTTGTAATCCTCAGAGGCAATTTAAAAATTACATTTTAAGAAAGAGAGAAAGAGAGATGAACTTTTTATTCTCGGAGATGTAATTATGAAGCTCACATTCATTGTTTTATTTACCCACCTTCCAGCAAAATAGCAATTTAAGTGAAAGAAGCCCATGAAAATCGTTCGTGCAAAATCACTGCCTACACATGTTGAGAATATTTTCATTTTTGTTTGATATCAAGAGGAACTTTTCAATTTTATGTTACACATTAAATCCACACGTATGTAAACGTATAAATGCTGAAATAAGTGAAGCTCTTATATGTGCTGTACAATTGTACAAATTCTTTGACATTTGATATCTTAATTAAATGTATTCATGTCAAATCTAATGTAAAATGTCAACATTTATTTATACTTTACAATTTTCCATTTCGTTACGATACGAAACTATTCCTTACAGGAGCATAATGCAAACACAATTTTCCGCATACAGAAACGAGTATATATTGAAAATTGTAAAAAGGAGGGAATTATTCAATGAAATGGAAATATTTGCCAATAATACTGCATGTACTACACTATCAATTAGCTGAGCTCTGCAAAAATCTTTAAATAAACAACAAACAGTAGCTGTGTATTGTAATCAAAACTTTGTTTGGTAGATAGATAGATAAAACTGTAAATTGGATTATCAGATCAGCGTATTATTGAAACTTTTTTTTAAATTCATTCGTTTTTTCCTGAAAATTTAAAGTTTGTTCTTATTTTGTCTTTTGATCAATTGGGTCTAATTGATTCAGATTGTGGTTTTAAAGGAGCTTGCTTACAGGAGGAATATCCTAATGATAAACTTCTTTTTAATAATTATTTTAATATTCCAAGCTTCTAAACAATTACCATAAATTATTAGTGGCAGATCTTTAAAGGAACTAGTGTGATCTAGTGAGTGATATCACGTAACCATAAGTCGACGAATGGAAGATTTTATGTATTACATCAAAATCTTCCATGTATGTTCCATATGTACATTCCATGTATCGTACATTGGACATTATGCTAATATGAAAAGGGACGATTTTTAGTCGATTTTACGTCGATTTCACGTCGATTATTTTTTTGAACCAAAATCAAATTTTTTTTGACCGTTACAATATAAAAACCGATTAACGGAAAAATTTTGAATTTTTTTGTATGAAAATATTTTTTGTTAATTATACTATAATTTGTAGACAAATCCCAAAAAAATTAATTAAGGATTTTGTCTTTGAAAAAAAGAGTCGAAGTCTTCATTTAAATGAATGATTCGCATGCAATTAATTTAATTAATTAATCACACTTTGTATGAAAATTTGGCTGTGCCTTATATAAGTGATTTCTGATTGCACTTGTGAAGTATATAGCGGCTCAAGAAAAACGACGTGTAATGGATGAAAAATCGACGTCTATTGGATCATCCAAAAAATTGTACATTTAAGTCGATTTTTTCATTGGCGGCGATATTGGTTACGTGGGATATACCGGGACCAAATAAAGCAACAATTCTAGTCGGTGTTCAAATAAAAAAGCTTTTGTCCAAATTGAAATAATCTAATTCAACTAATGGCACTCAAAGTTAAAAGCCCGATAACTCCTTGTTATCTTAATGATAGCAATTGTTCATAAATATTTTCAATCCTTCCCCGATCGGCATACAATGTTTGCCACATGACAGTCGGGTTGATAGTATAATTAGAACCAAGCGTTTTCCACTTTGAAGCTATTTTCAAGTGGATACCAAGTCTTCGCCCTATGGTCTTCGCCAGTTTGTTCTAATTACACCATCAACCATGCTGCCGGGAAGCAAAGATTTCAACAAATTTCAATGTGTGCCGATCGGGTTCGAATCAATTTTATTTTTATCAAATCATTCTTTTAAAAAATGCGCATTTTATCAATTAACCAAACAAAAATTCTCTTGCTAGTCGTTTCATATTCTTTCCACCCCTCATTCACATCCTACAGTCTGAATAAATTCACAATTTCATTCAATTTTGAAAATAAAAAAAATCTTTTATTTCATTGAATTGAAGAAAATTCAACGGAAAATGGAAATAAAACAAAAAAAAATTATCACATAAATTATTCATAATCAAATGAGAAACCATTAAAACTATTTGAAAAAGAATTTCTGGTTTAAGCAATTGTCAGCATAATTTTCGTTTTTATGACTCGTTCGTTTCATTCTCTGTTCTGTAAAATCTACTAAATTTATGATTTTAACAGCCGCAAAATTGGAGAGAACAAATCAGTGCTAATCGTATTTTAAATATTTCTCTCTATTAATTGTTAATTGATTTATGGCATTAATTTTTTTGAATGATTATGGTTAATTCCTTTAGATTTTTGTGTGAACTTTTCTATGGCTTCTTCTTTGAAATTGATGAAAATAAACGAAACTCATTTAAGTATCTTATTCATCATTTTTATTAGAGCTTATTTTCTTTTTGGTTGATTTTTATTAGATTTCTTGATTTGTGGATTGTCTGACATAATTTTATGAGAATTTAAAAATTATTTAAAGAATTTGAGGCAATTTTGTGTTGAAGAATTTGTTTGAAAAGTTAACTCTTAGTCTTAGAAACTTTATCGTGATAATTTTCATGCGTCTCTAAAAATGATGTCTATTGATTATATCAAGTAGCATTAGAAATCTACAATTCCTTCTTTAGATGCTAGACGTCATGAATATACGTTTCTGCACGCAAAATAAAATTATGAAAATTTCCAAAATTTCAAAAAAATTTATAAAAACATTTTTCAATAAAGTCTATTAGCCAGCAATTTGTTTTCAATTACTTTTGTTTACCAAACTTCATGCTTGAATTAGAAAATTAGTTCAGCTTCATTTACAAAAATATTTGTCATCACCATCGCGACATATTTCATACACTTTATGTAAACAGTTTTGAAAGAAGAGCGACTTCAAAGTCTTCTAATATTCAAAACGAGAAATGAAAACTAATTAAATTCATATGAAATATATTAAGGCATAGTCATAATATTAGTCCTCAACTCATAACTGTTAAGCTGAAATAATAAAAACAAAACACACATTTGAATGTCGTAAATCATGTTGAGTGTATGAAAGAAATATCATCTCCATCAAAAGATCATCCGCATATGTGAAGGAACGGTCTCTATGTGCTGAAAGTGAGAGCAAAGAAATCCACTCATGAAATTTTTTTTTAAAAACTTTTTATTACTTCTTTTTTTTCTTCATCTTTATAGTAAAATTAATTTTATTTCATATTTTTACAAATTTTCTTCATAATTTATTATACAATGTGAAATCATAAAGTCATTTCCCATATTACAAATTTTAAAAGAGTTCCAATGAGGGAATTTTGTCGGATTTTTTTCAAGGTTCTGAAAATTAATTAAATTGTTTTTGATGGCCACATACTTAGAGCTCCATATAGAGCCAGCATGTCCAGTATGGTGACTTTTTAATCAAAAATTCTCAAAATTTATCAGTTTTTAATTGACTTTATTTAACTTTAGCCAAAAACAACGAAATAAGACACACAAAAAAAAATCCGACAAAATTTTTCCAAAGGGAAATTAGCTGAGAAGAGGATAAAAATTAATTAGAGATGAAAAGTTTAAGAGCTAAGAGAATTTGAATTTGCGGTAAAGATTTTCTTATGTCTCAATAAATTCTATGTCTCATAGTTCTGTGTCAATTGTCGTCGTTGTGATGTGTTGTGTTTTTATTTCATGGTAACTTTATATTCATATTCATGTGCTATGTTATTTTTTCTTCCCGATGACAGTCTTCTGAATGTATTATTTACGAGTCGTGGAAAAAAATTGTCTTAAATGTCTGGTCGTAAAGTAAGAAGATGAAACTAAAAGTCTAGTGGAAGTTGGAGTTGATGAACAAAACAAAAACAATAAAATAAGATGTGATGATAGTCAAAAAAAATACGAAACAAAGGAATAGAGAAGGAAGAGTTCAGAGAAAAAGAGCAAGCGAGCGAGATTGAGAAAGAATGCGTAGAATGACAGGAAGGTAGGAAATTCCATTTTTTATGAGTGTCTAACAAACTATTGGTTTAAAAATCTGTCTCATGACTGCTGATTTTCTTACTTATAGACTTCATTATGATATTTAGGAACTATAAAAGTAAGTTGAAATTTTGTGAGCAATAAATCTAGTTTTATTGACTTTTGGCGTATGTTTTAAGGAAATGACTAATTTACTATTAATCTGGCACTGTGAATTTCAAAAATCTCATGAATCTGTAAGCAGCGTAAAGTCAGTTCATTAAAAAATGCAGCAAATGTCAAAAAACTTTGAAGATAAATCCGAGAGAAATACAAAAGTAAGTCTATATAGTAATAAATTCAATTTTTTTTCCATCTTTGTGGCTATATAGAGAAATTTCATCCTTTTTTGGCCAAAACAAAACGAGAGAAGTTCGTAAAAAGTCAAGCTACAAAATATGAAAAAATTGTACTTCATTCGTGTAAAAAAAAACTTTTAAAATTATTATTTCTTCTTCTTCCTGTCTTGCATTCCATTTTCCTCATAATCTGCCTCGTAATCTTCTGGACCGCCGGGTGCTTCATCTTCCTCGTGATAATCACTTTCATTCTCCGCTGGTACTGTCTTATCCGGTAAATAGTCTTTATGTTGTGGAGTATGTATTATTGGTTCCTGTCAAAGGGTTTGTTATGGATTGTTTTTATTGAACATCATTAATTAAATATTAGAAAGATTATTTTTAACTTTCATAATATGTTTTTCTCTCTCTGATTTTTGTAAGTCATGCTTGACTGGATGTGTGGATGGTTGTGAGAGAGATAAATTGAATAAAATGAGGAAAATAAATTTTTACAGCAATTTTTTTTTATGAAATAAATTATTGACTCATTTTTCATGCTCGCATGCGGTTTTTATGAATTTTGATAAAGTTTTATTTGACTAACTTTTGGTGGTCGCCAACCGCAGCCTGGAAGTGGTAAACCATCAGAACCCAATGGGCATGGTGCATCCAATCCCTTTGAATTTTAATGCAATAAATTTTATATATTCTGACATTTTAATGGAAATTATTTTTCAACATACCGGAACTCCTTGATCGCCTTTCTCTCCTCGATCTCCTTTACGTCCACGTTTTCCAGCTGGTCCTGCTTCTCCTTTACTACCCTTTTCACCACGTGGACCTTCTTGTCCGGGAATGCCATCAGTTCCCTGAAATCAATAATATTAGGTTGATGAACTTTGAATTTTTGAATGAAAAAAAAAATCATTGAAATGTGACTTTAGCAAACAATTGCCGATTGAATTAGAATATTTTTACTTCCATCATCCATTGTCTATAATTGAAAGCCAGATTTCAGAATTCAGCATTTTATAAAACTTTTATTGATCCATGTTTTATGTGAAAACTTTATCGATGAAATGTTAATTTGTATAAAAAATGTCGCACATCACCACAACGACAATCTTATGACTATAACATTGCAGAGATTCATAATGCGTCGCTCGGGTTATGGTTGGAAAATAAAAACATTAATGTTGCCAACCGGCAATTATTGTTAACTTTATGAATTTTGCCTTTTACATAATTTTATAGACTTGATAATTATTTTTTTATGAACTTGTTGGCTATTGAAAATCGTCCTTTGTACGATCGAAACAATAAAATATTTTTAATAAATGTAACGAACTTTGTTAGGGACAGTCCATTTATAATGTTCAAGGGAGGAGGGATTGAGGAGATTTTAACAATAAGTTTTCTAGAAATTTTATGCAGTTCTCAATAATTAATTCATGTTGATAAGGAACAAAAAAGTAAAGTCCATTTAGGAAAGCCTAAGAATAGTTGATTCCGTTAAAAAAATGCAGGCAAAAGCTGATTTACAGATACTTGCGGTTTTATTAAATAGTTTTTTTTAATTTACCCAATATAGTTCATTGAATGCTTATGGTACTCAATGTTTATGACTACTCATTGAAAATCCAACCTTTTTCATTAATAACTTCTTCAAAAGCTGTTGTAAATTAATCAGCTGAATGACTTCCATTACCATTCAATCAATATTCTTTATTTGCTTTTTTTTATTCCACTCAGTCGATACTTAAAATAATATCCACTCGATAAAATTCATCCATTCAATCCATTGTTTGCAAGTCATCAGCATTGAGTTAATTGAAAAATTAAAACAACAAAAAGTTGTTGATAAAAATCTTACCGGTAAGCCGGGATCGCCTCGTTCGCCTTTCATTCCAGTCTCTCCTTGTGCCTATAATTGAAGTAATGAAGCAGAAAGCAGAGAAAGATAAATTATCTGATTGAAAGTTTTTTGTGACTCAGTGGTGTCAAAATTTTGTGCTGTACGTTCCATATGGATAGATTTTTTGGATGAGAACCTGTACATTTATCAGCAACCAAAAAAGGTAAATCCAGTGAAGAAAAAAAAAATTAAAAGTCACACTTCGGAAATTGCACAAAAGTTTGAGCAGCACTGAGTCTCATGAGTGTAAAAATCATTTAAACAATTTTATATCCTTACCCCTTTCATTCCGTCCAAACCAGCTGGACCCTGGGTATTAATTAAAATAAAAAAAGCATACAAAAATGATAATCAATATTGTGTATATTGTGTATTCAGTCTGGGTGTGTCTTTTGAATAAACATAACAAATTAACAGAAATGACAGATTTTAAAGTATTAATCAAAAAATGCAGTTCCGCTTCCATCCAAACCCAGAATTTGGAGTTTTAATTTAATATGAAAATCATTGTAATTAATTGCGAAAGCGTGGCATGCATGAAATTTTTTTGATAATGCTAATAAAATTAAATAATTAAAGTGGGCAATAATGATTGTGACTTGATATGTGGATGAAATATGTAATGTGGAATGGCTTTTATTGGTGGGAGGAAGGGCATAATGAAAAAATAATTGTGCCAATAAATATTATTGCTATTATTATTTCCATGCTACAATATCTACAATAATAAGTCTGTGTGATGTAAAAATACATAAAAAAATTGATTGTAAATAAAAATTAATAACAGCGACACTTACCCAAAGGCCAGATTGAAAAATATTCATACATTTTAAAGCCAGAAATGATTTTTAATGGCGATGGAATAAAAAGTGAAGAGAAGTGGAGGAAGAAATTCCGATTTTGAGTACTTTAAAATTCCTTCTATGAGGATGGCTTGATATTCGATAATGAAATTTAAAGATATACAACCAACAGCAATAAAAACAGACTGCGAAATTTTTTCGCAATAAATTTTCAAGAAACTCGCCCCATTTCAACCCCACTCGCATGCTTCCGAGCCAATACAATGGCTTTATTATTTTTAATGAGCTTTTTTCTTCTTTCATGCTCTTTTTAGCTCATTTCCTTGAGAAATTCTTAAGATGTTGTCGAGTTAAGGCTGTTTTTTATGCAAATTAAATGCTTTTTGGTAATAATAATGGTTTATTTATAAAGTTGAGGGATATTTTCAAGTTGTGAAATTGTTTTGTTGATTTTTTAAATTGTCTCGTTTTAATGTTTCAGAAAGTTTTACCTGAAATTATGACAACTTTATCATAAAGAAAAAAGCACATTTTAATTATCAGTAACTTAAAAAAATTTTAAAAATTTAAAATCAAAGAAATTTCCTAGAAAAAAAGCGCCAAAATGTTTTACAGTAATTTAACGACTTGCTACTTAATATTTTGTGTTTCAGTTGTTGCTTATCGTTCATTTTTCTCTTTTGTTCGTTTTTCATAATTTCTTTTCTTTATTTTTTTTTATTTTTTTGTTATGAAACATAAATTATAAAAATTACATTATTTATTTCTGCATCTCTTTTTTTTATTTCTCCTTAATCTTGTTTCACTTTTTATATCTTATTTCTCCTTAAAAATTTACTTTGTGTTTTTTCTCTTCTTATTTTCATATCTTTTATGTATTTTATAATCAACATCATTCTCGCAATATTTTTTTTTATTCCTTTCTTTTTTTCCTCTTGGATTGACTTACTTATGATTATGTTATTATTGTTATTATCATTATCTTTCGCGTGTTTACACATTTCTTTTTCCTTTTAAGCCTTTATGTTAAGTCAGAGCTGATGATTGGATTTTGTAAAATTATCAAATTTACTAATTTTAGGCTTAATGTTTATAGAACAGAATATGATTTCTTAGAAAACCTAGTCGATTAATGTCAAAGTTAATTTTCAAGCTTCAACAAACGTCAAAATCAAATGATCAACTCTGACTTTTTATATCCATTTTCAACTTGTTTTTGAACGCAAAACGTAATTTTTCATATGCCTTAAAATTTATTTTATTATTGATATTATCGTAATAATGTTATTATTATTTGTTTATTTGCTCTTTTTTATCCTTTTTAACATTTTATTGTTTTATTTTGTTACCTTTTTTATCATCATTAACTTTAACATGACTTTGTTTCTCTTTTACAGTTTTTATTTCTTAATTTTTTATTTTATTTTAATTTTGATTTCTTTCTTGAAAATATTTTCATTTTGGTGTTATCAATTTTTCTTTCTCTTTCTTTTATTTCCTGGTTTGAAGTTAAAATAACTCAAAATGATTTGAAATAATTTCATGTTTGCGTTTTTCCTTTGTCATGAATCAGGATGGAATCGATTGATATTTGGAATGTTAAATGAATAAAATCTAAAACTTTAAAAGAAACATAAATTTTAGAGATAGGAAGCAATGAGTAGAACCTTTAAATAAAGTTTCCGAAATCAAATCTTTATCTGGAACAGAATTTTTCATTTCAATTCAAGTCATGCATTTTTGCTCCTTTCTTTTGTTTCATTTACCAATTTTCAATTAGAACATATCTGAAAAACTTGTGAATGAAACCGGCACTTCAATGTATGCATGCATCAATTGTCATGAAATAATGCACATAAATTTCAACAATTTTTCCGAAATCATTTGTATTTAAATACATCCATTGATCGTTCTATAGGCTAATATTTACACATATGAAAGCTTTTATGTGCTGTTTATTTCAAAAACTATTTTACAGACTCAGAATGCAATTTCAAAAAGCTTTTATTAAAAAATTCTTCCTTTGTTTGCAAAAATGCCTTTTGTTTGTTAACTGAGTTCAATCAGTTATACATTTAACAAGAATTTACTGTCAATACAGAAATATTTGACTTATTCAAAATTAACTTTTACAGAAGGAAATATGATTTTATTAATTTTAAAATGATAAAAGTATGAAAAATTTCTGCATTGATTTAAGAAGTGCCAATTTTTTTAATAAATCAAATTTTAATGTGAACTGATTGGACTTAAATCACTGAAAAGATATTAAACTAATTTGGATGCTGAACAATTTGTTAAAATCATTTATCTTCTATGCCTTAAAGAATATCTTACAAAAACTATGAAACTTGTACAAAAAAGATAAAAACTTTCCCTTAATCTCCATAATTGAATCTTCCATAAAAACCTCATAAAAGATTCAATGAAAATAAAATATAGCAAAAAAAAAAGACGAAGGAGTTCTTGGATGTAAAGAAGGCAAAGAAAAGAGAAAGAAAAATTAATAATTCAATTATTTATGATTGAAGAATATCTTCAGTGTAACTAATTTCTTTTCCCATATGTCTTAACATATTTATAGCTCTATACACATCCATACATACATACATATTAAAAGAGGTAAGAGAGATGGATTAATAGAAATAGTAAGCGAAACAACAAACAAATGCACATGGAAATTTATCTTATCAAAATATTGAGAGGATCCAAAAAAAACTTGATGAGACAGAGGTGAAGCTATAACTTGATCTATTAATATTTACAAAATAAAAAATTTTGCTTTTATTCCTTATTCCTTATTTCACTCAGTTATCAACGCTGCATAGATTTTCTACCAGAAATTTGAGCTTGAGAAGTATCTATGCAGAAGAAAGGATCATAATCATCAAATATTGATTGATAAAAGGGAAATGAAGATAATAATAAAGTTTAAAGGAAGTAAAAGTTGAGTATGTGTGCTGGAAGCAAGATAGACAAAATTGTAGTACCAGAGATAAATAAGGAAACAGAGGGTGGTAATGATATGATAACAACATCAAATTTGAGAACGAATTATTTTAAGGTAAACTGCTTTGAGCAAAGGAAATTAAAGAATTTGCGTAAAGCCTACGTCAATGAATTATTCGCTAACGGGGGTGTAAATTTAAAATCGCGAGAATAAATTATTGTGAAGTAAAGTAATTTTCAATCTTAATATTTGCAGGTCGTGAACTCTTTGTAAATTATGGCTCGACAATTAAATAGACGTAGACGGTACGATTCTTTATAAATTTTTCTTAGAATGTGAAATCACCACAGGCAAGAGACCGCCTTAGCTGATTGAAGAATTAACATTTAAGAACTAAATATAGTCACTAGACAGACATAAATCTTCAAGTACTTTCAAATCATCAGACATCTTATCGCTTCCTTACAGAAATAAAAAATTAATCATCATTAATTTCTTATCAAAGATTAAAAGGCTTGAATTGAAATAAATTTTCTTCATTGCCTGCCGTCTCTATAATTTCTCATCCTTCTACACTCCCACTTACTGTCATCATTGAAATGTTTAATTATAATTATCCACTTTGGGGGACGGCTTTTATGTATTTTTCAATTTTCTCTGCTCTTATTCTTCTGTATTTTGTCTTTCTTCACGAAATGAATGAAGATAATTAATTATTTGACTTGATAACATTGATGCGCGATTCATTCTGTCTACTCACTCATTATTTCATTACTTTATTTCCTCTTTTTTGTCGGAAAAAAGAACTTTAACGTCATGAAAATTAACGTTTTGAGTGCATTTCCTAATTCATTTAATCAAATAAAATTTAGGGGCCGTTCACTTATTACGTAACGCTTTTAGGGGGAGGGGGGGTCTAAGATTTTGTTACGGTTCAAACAAGGAAATTTTTTTTTCATACAAATTTTGTTACGAGGGGGGAGGGGTTTAAGAAGTCATTTTTTCGCGTTACGTAATAAGTGAACAGCCCCTTAGATTTTAGAAGTTTTTGTGTTTTCAAACATTCAGACTTAATTCAAAATTTAGTCTTTAGTTTAATGCATGTAGATCTGCCTTTAACTGCTTAATGTGTATACTAAAGTAAAACAAGTCGGTTTCAATGCGAATCGAACCCACGACCACAAAAGAGGTGATCTCTGACCACTCGATCAGAGATCCCTGCCATTCGTCCACCTAGGTACTTATCTCACTTTGGCTATCCGTCATACACATATAAACAGCTCAACGCGAGCCCTATGCTCAGGCCTATCTACTACAGATATGTTCTGCCATATCTACAATGCCTCAAACTGACCAAGAGCTATTCACTTTTGAAAGAATAATGCTCTTAATAAATTATGACTTTAAGGAACAATTTATCAACAGTTGACATAAAACGATTAAACGAGAGAAGATTCGAGAAATTATTTAATTTTTTTGCAACATTGAATCGAGAATGATTAACGGTTTAAAACTTTTTTTTGTTTGTTTATTGCAACTTTTTATTAACATTACCATGGATGGATTTTACTTCTTCATTTATTTTCCTTCAATTTTATTTTACACAATCAATTTTATTTCCTTATAACATCTTATTAATGAATTACTTGGTAAATTTCAAAGGAACAAAATTTATTGAGTTGAAATTGATTTATGCGGAAGTTATGCTAAATTATGATAAAGCATGTTGAGGTTATGTTAATCATTTTGAGGTCATGTTTGCAGCTATATGTTGATTTATGTTGTTATCATAAAATCCATTCATAACATTCAGAGATTTTCATTTTTCCTTAAAAATATTGCATAAATATAAAATTGGATATGATACATGAAGATATTTATTGCAATATAAAATTTATGAGATTTAAATCAAGATAATTTATTTCATCTCAATCTTTTACTTTTTGCTCTTAGATGGAATGCTTCATTAATGATTCGTTTAGAGCTTCTTCTATGATTCTTTAGGGTAGGAATAAATTTCATATTATGCTTAGAAATTTTTATTGATCAATTTTACTGATTTATTAAAGCAAACTTTTAGTATAGAATTTATTGTTAACAAGACCTCAATCACTTCAAAATGATTACTTATTTATCATTAAAGTCAATTTCAATCCAATATATTTTATACTTTGAAGATTGATAATTTGCAATAATTTTATACGTTGGATAACAATTTTTTTGTGTTTAGCTTTTGATTATTTTCATTGTTTGTCTTTCTTATTACAATTTTAGTCATTAACATCAACCACTCTTTAATAAAAAGATAAGCACTTTTGTCTTATGATAATACTTTGATTTTTACACAAAGTTTGTTAAGTTGATGAACTTTTTGTAATCCACCGAAAACGTTGGTTTTACTTTCAAACATTAAGGTTGATTTAAAAGTTCATCTAACTTAACACACCTTGATTTTTACATTTTTATGAAGCATGTTTCGAACATCAATGAAGAAAACTTTGCAAAACCAAAAAATTGTATCAATTATAAATTTAGATTTAAATCATTAAGTTGATAATCATTTAAAGCTAAAATAATGAATTAGAGAATTTCCTTTCATCTTTATTGTTTTGAAATAGAAATTTTGTGTCTCATTTTACCATTTTCGTTGATTTTAATGAATAATGGTATTAAATTACAAAAATAAATAAATTTAAATTTATCTTGTTGAGGAAATCACCGAAGAATGAATATTAAATGAGTAGATTTATCTTAACAAAGAAAAGTGTAGACACCGTGTACTCCAAAAAAAGCATTAAATTGGTTTTAAGGACGGTAAGTATTTTAAAATTTTTTAAAGTCAGCAGTAAACTCGTAATCGATCAAAATTTTGTTAAAAAAATATGTTTGTTATCAGATTAAATTAGTTTCAATGGAGAATCAAATTTTGAAAACGTATTCGAAAAATAGAACTTTTTAGAGTCCCTTCCTTAATTCAAGATACAAAAGAGCATTTATAACAATTTTTTTCTCATTCTCCTTATTTCATGTACGCGAATAATTTACGCACAACATTGAAGATTTTTATCAATTTTAAGACTGAAACTGACTATTCGAACCACTTCGAATGGTTTTTATACTGCGCTTGTTAATGTATCGCATCTCCTCTATCTCCTTCCATAGAACAAGAAATAAATGACTTCTGGTTTTTCATTATTCTTTTTTTCTCCTTTCCACTTCATATCGTAAATTTACAAACGTGATTTATGCTCATGAAATTATCTCTTGTGCCTTTTATTTTTTTACTTATTTTTACACATTACTCTCATTAAAAGAATATGAAAATTGTCATGAAATTGCTTGTTGTTGGTGATATAAATTGAATAGGGACGTTAAATAAAATGAAAGATCAAGATTTGTTATGTTTTTTGCTTCTTTGCTTTCGTGTTTTACTTGATGAATTTCAATAGATTTTGTAATAAATTAAATTAATTTTTATATAAATAAAATAATTTTATACACCGAGAAGAATGACTTAGGATGGAATAGAGTGATAAATGTGATTCGATGAAATTGAATGTCGGAACTTGTATTTGATAAATATTCAAAATCATTTTTAGCAACTTAGTCGTTGACTTAAAGAATCTTGTAAAACTTTCAGACGACACAAATTAAAGCCAAACCTATATTTAAATTAAAAAATTCCATTAAATTCACTCTGAATTGGAGCTTAAAAATATTTACAACAGCCATTCCATAAACACCTCATAACATTTTGTGCCTGTTGTTTCGCAAAAAAATAATGAAGGCGTTTATGGTGCCATCGGTGTGTCTTTTAGTGGCAGAATCAAGATTAATGTATTCTTTTAAGATTGTAATTCGTTTTGAAACAAGGTTTGAAGATCATTTAGAGTTTAATGATCATATACAACGAATTTATGATCAGACCTCGTGTAGGAATTTTTTTTTTTTTTGCTGTAAACTGACTGTAAAGATAGTTCAGTAACTTCTTGAAATGGCATTAAAATCGTATAACTTCTAGTAAGACAAGCTATTATTTCCTATGTTTTATCATCTGATCTGGTGAACTGAAGTTAAAAATGTGACTTAAATGGAATATCCAAAACTATTTTGTCTTATCTTTCTATGTCATATGGAGCTTGTTTTATCTAAATTTATGAGTCAAGTTATATTTTTAAATAATTTTAAGTTTGAGTGGGATTGATCTTTTGTCAGCTGTTTTGTTAAAGCATAAATAGCTTAATTTTTATGTCTAACTGATCTTTCAAATGCTAATAAATTTGTACAGTATATAGACATAAGGTCAAGTCAATTGATTGTGTAAAATTATACTCAATCAGTTAATAAATTTGTAGGTCGTGTTTTCATCATTTTCCTAACTGATTTGACCTGAAGTAAGTATTCATTTTAATTTTACTCTCAACAATTTAACCAACGACATTCGATTTCATCCTTTGAATCAATTCTTACATTTGTAAATCCGTACTTAAAAACATCAGCACGATTTTATCGACAACCATGCTAAATGATTCTTCTCAATGTAATCTCCTTAATATACATATGAGATTAAATGGATTTATTTTACAAAAAGTGAAAAAGATGGAAACAAAAACGATTTTCTTATATGAATATTTATATATTTAATATGGCATGGAAATAAATACAAAGCAGCATCAATATTGGATAATATCTAACTAAGTAGTTTTTTTATTTTTGAATCTTATTAATTCTCTTCACTTTTTTTTACTATCTAAGGCGATTGCTTTTATCGCTTGTTGTTATTTTTTTAGAGCACACACTTCACCTCAATTATTTGTCATGATTTTTTTTCTCAGATAAAATTTTTCTCATTTTTTTTAATGTCATAATGAAAAACAAAAACAGAAAATTAAGCAATAAAAATTTTAAAATTTAATAGTGATTAGTATCCCGAACCTGAGGAAGAACAAAAGAAAGACCAATAAAGGCAATTGATTAATTCAAATGGGATTTTTTTTAAATCTTGATGTGTTAGTAACGAACTATTAAGTGAATCAAAAAAGGAAAACTGAACAAATTACACAATGACAATTTTTCTACTTACAAAGAATCCGGTCTTTCCAATTGGCCCTTGTGGACCAGGCTCTCCTTTAAAATTGTGAAAGTTTTTTTGTCATTTTAATAGTTCATTAAGAAGAAAATTAAATTATTTTTTTTTTTGTGTGTGTGAAGAAATTTAGAAATCAGAACCTCTAAATCCCATCGGACCCGGAAGACCCATTGGTCCTTGATCTCCTTTAACTCCTCGATCTCCTTTCTTTCCATCATTTCCTTTTGGACCTGGAAAAAATTAGAAATTTAATTACAAATAGAATTCAACATCAAGAAAGAATTGGAACTTTATCAAATCTAGATTTTGAAATAATTTATTCATTTTTGACATATTCTGATTTTTTAAATTGAGTTCATAACCTCGTATAATCAAACTTATTTTCACCTAAACCAAAAAAAAAAAGAAACTCCTTCAAATAAATCAAAAGCACTACAAATAATTTTTTAATTACTTCTAAAAGATTTTAATGCTATTAAAATTTCATTTGACAAGATGCTGAAAACAATGGTGCTGAGTTGAAAACTTTTTACTCATAAAATTTACCATTTAAATGTATTTTACATAAAAATATATGGCAAGAAAACCATTAAACATTCATAAGCAAAAGTTTTGTCTTCAATTTTCATTTTCATTAAACAACAATAGTTTTTCTCCATTCTTCTCTTTCGTTCTTTTACTTTCTCTCTGTATCTTTAATATCCACAGAAAAAAAATTTGTTTAATGGAAAAGTTTTTTCACCGAAAAATGTCGAGACAAAAAAAGAAGCTTGTGCGAAAGAGAACAAAAATGTACATGAAGGATGTTGATGAAAGGATGATGGTTTTTATAATGCCTTCAAAGTGTGATGTGATAAAGGTGTTGTAAGCCTATTATGGAGGTGGAAATGAAGGCTTTTATGAGGTTACTCGTTAACACCACAAGAGCATAAAATCTTCCTGATGTGAAGTTTTATAAACAACAATTTGAAAGCATGAAATATGATAAAATCATCTGTAAGATTTTTAGGAAATTTCTTTAAGTTTTTCTCATTTCGAACTTATATTATAAGGCTGAATCCTCAAAAATATTGTTCAGGCAATAGAAAACTTTGTGGTTGTACAGAATCTAATGATTTATTATCTCAATAAAAGAGAACATGAGAAATGTGAATGTTATGAAAATTACGCTTTTATGTGAAAACAAAACTGTAGAAAATTAGCAGTGCTTTCTTAAAAACAAATTAACAACTTTTCAATAGCAATTCTTGATAATAAATTCCTGTTATTTTAATATGAATTGCAATAAATTAGCATTTACTTTTTGATCATAAAATGTTTAACTTAGACAATTATTTTGCTTTATTTAATGCTTATGGCTAAGCAGCAATGCACGGCATTTACTAAATTTTCGAAAATTTGATAAAAAAAAATGAACACTACTTAAAACCGTTTTATCTAAATTTAGACTTATTCAGTGTTAAAATAAGCGATTCCATGTCAGTAAACTATAAATCATGTTAGTGCAAAGGAACAAAAAATAGTGTAAGGGGCCGTTCATTTAAGACGTCCAACGGGGGGGGGGGGGGGGTGGTCAGCAAGAAAAGTACAATAGAAATTCCAGGAAATCCCTTGTTCTTTTTTGAAAAATGACCGTTAATTTCGGACGTCATAAGTGAACGACCTCTAATCTAAATATGGGATTTAATCATAAAGTCGTCTAACCCTCAATATCTCAGTGGTAGAAGCATGCGACCGGAAATTGTTGATATAAGGGTTTGAATCTTGCTCAAGATCCTTTTCTCAAAGTTATTCTTTTTTCTCTGGTTTTGACAATTATAACACAACAAGCATAAAACAGATTTATTGTTTATGTCTATGTCATGATTTTTTTTAATCTGAATATATATGCCACAGGAACATTTAATGTCAGACACATAAAATTGCATATAATGTCGGAATGAAAATTGCCAATTATTTCCATAAAGTAACACAAAAAGCTCTTTTTGTTAATGTCAAAATAAAAGTCAATTGTTGTTTTTATAACGAAAAATTAATCTGACAAAGTTCCAATTACAAAGTTAAATTTCTGTAATTTGAGGGACAATTTTATTTATTTATTGTGATAAAAGCTCACCTTGAAGACCTGGTAGTCCATGTGTTCCCGGCGGTCCTAATCAAAAGAATTCAAAAAATGTTTAATTCATCAATCAATCTCAAGTGATCCATTTAAAGCATACCTGGTGGACCTGTTACATTCCAAATCAATCAGACAGAAAAAAGAAGCAAGAAAGAATGAAGATAATTGTTAGTGATTGACTCCAATCAAGCATAAAATTTTTATAATTATGTATAAAGTAAATAAACAGTCGAGACTAACCTGGCGGACCCATTGGCTAGAAATTGACAAATTGAAATGATTATGTAAATAGCGGCAGTACAATTTATTATGTTAAGTATCTCTTCTCAAGAAAAATTAACTTACGATATCAGGAATGATGTATGGTGCATCTGACATTCCATGTTCGTCTTGTCTTCTTCTCATTTTACGGTACTTCTGTGGCAATACATGTAATAAGAAAGAGTATGAAGTAGAGAACGAGATAAACAGAAAAGATATTTAAATTATTATTAATCTTGTCGGCTTACGGTAATTCATACATGTCTGTAAAATAATACTTACAGCATCACCTCTATCGCCTTTATCACCTTTCGATCCTGGATATCCTGGTGGGCCTATGTAGGGGTAATTATATGATTTATTAAAATTAATTAGTCGACTTGAAATAATTGCAATGCATTTACCTGGCAATCCTGGCGGTCCCATTAAACCACTGCATTTTGAGAGAAAACATTTTATTTATATTAATTTATTAATTTAAAGCAACGAAGAGAAATTTGCAATCTTACGGAGGTCCAATATCGCCACTTTCTCCTTTCTCGCCAGGTGGGCCTTGCATACCTTAAAGTTATTGTCAATATTATTTAAATGTTTATTTTCAATAAAAATAATTAAGTCCTAAGGTTGAAAGAATTTTAAAGAACTAAGAATGTTATATTAAAAGAGAATCTAACCTGGATGACCTGGTGGACCTTCTATGCCTGGTTCCCCTGGCATTCCATCTAATCCCCTAGGTCCTAATGATCCTGGAGCACCAATATCACCTTTATCACCTTTAACACCCGGAAGAGCATCTTTTCCATCTTTACCATCTTTTCCAGGGGTACCCTACAGGATATATATTAAGACATCAGTTAAGCATTATTGAAATTAAATGAATATTGATTGACAATTGTTGACTTTTAATGAATTCAAAGAAAATATTTGAACTTGAATTTTTAACCATCAAGACATTCTACACGTGAAACCATTTAAATTCAACTCATATTTCAATGAAAAACAACGAAAGCCTTAAAATTAAGCCATTTAATATTTAATTGAGCAGAAACTCATGAGTCTTAAAATCTTCATCAATCATTGTTCACTCAATTAACTTTCAATCAATATTCATTAATAAATTCATATTTAATCTACTCAATCAATACTCACAGGTTCGCCAGGTGGGCCACGTAACACAATTGTATCATCGTACTCTTCATCTTTTCCAGGAATCTTGAATTTTATTGAATGAAAGAATACAGAAAAAATCATAAATTAGTTGGGAAATGTTATTAATCTAGTCATTAATAAGATGTTCAACAGCAAATCTACTTACACTACGGATAAACAATTATTTTGTGTTAAGAGAAAAATTGAAATTTTCTCATTTTTTATTATCGCAAAATAATATAAATTGAATGTAATTAACAACAACAACAAAGCATTAATATTATTAATAACAACAGCAACATCTAATAAATCAACATTGTGAGTGATTCTTAAGTGAGTGTGTAAACTACATTTGTAATTTTTCTTTTGCTCTTTTTAGTAAATTATTGCTTTTTAATGTGAATCAAGATCAAGAAAACAACATTCTTTTTAATTCTACATCTCTCAATAACTATAATTTTAGTTTTGACAAATTTTCATTTCAAAATGTTCAAAGCGCATTTTTAGAGATTGATCAGGTTTAACCTAGAATAGCAACAGGAACTTATGACACAAATATTCAAAAATTTAAAAAAAAATATCCAAATGTTAAACGAGAATGAAAGCAGACAAACACAAAAGGCATGATCATCCTGATTAATTCATAAATATGCGCTTTGACCGTGAAAAGAGTTTACAAATTACAAGGTAAGTGTGTGTGCTATAAAAATTTATTTTAGCGTGGCGCGCACGATAATGAGCGTTTAGTTTAATTATAATTATCTAGTGGTTTTATGCTTTCTTTTTTCTCTCTCGCTCATCGTACTATAAATGTTTTTTGCTATATTCGTGTGCTTGTTAATTATTCACATAATTGGGGTCTGCCCACACATTTATTTTGCTGCTATTTATTTCCACGAGAACAAAATAAATTCTTTCTAATTGATTTTAAATTTTTTTCGGTATTGAGGCGAGTGAGGTGCAACGAACTTAATGCGAGTGAAAAACAAAATTTTTTGGTTAAAATTTTCATGTGCTTTTTTTTAATCCAGTGCTAATATTCCATCTACTGCCATTCACCATTATTTTGCTGTGTCAATTTTGTATGTGCCTTAATAAATTAAAACCTTTGAATCTTTATCTACTGAAATTAAAAACTGTTAAATTAACTTAAAATTAGATTATTTACAGAGAAAATATGGAAAATCATGGAAATGAAAATGAAAATGATTTTAATGAGTTTTCATTTTTGAATGATTGAAAAATTTTCCGCTTTGAAGCTTAAATCAATTAATTAAAAATCTGTCATTGCGGGAACTTTTTTTTCTCCTTTTTTCCCAGATTTAAAGCACTGCACAAATGAGTGATAATTTGTTATGGATTATTGCTCATTTCCACAATTAAGCATGCAATCATGGCAGAATGTAAAGCGTGTGTTTCGCAAAAATAAATGAATAATGAGTGGCAATGGGCGATTTAAGCTCATAAATCATCATGCAATTCCTTCTTTAATCTACAGTTTAATTTTTGTATTTTATACATTTTGTGAGTTTGTGTAAAAGTGAAATATTAAGTCGCAACTGCATGCAAAGCAAAGTCTTTAATTAGAAACAAATTTACTCACCTTTTTGCCACGTTTGCCTCTCGGACCTTTCTCGCCTTGTGGACCTGTTAATGATGATTACAATTGAGATCATTTCACTGCTTGTTAATTATTTACTCAATTTTTAAGCATTTAAAACAAGATTATTTACCGGCATCTCCTTTTGGTCCTGGGGGTCCTATGAGTCCTTAATTTTCCATTGAATTATAAAGTTTTGATAAAAATTCAAAAGTCACATTTTAATGTTCCCAATGTGGATGTTTATTTCGAAGGAAATGGAAGAGGAAATAAAGAATTTCAAATAAAATATTCAGTTAGGATGTGCTCATTAATAAATTATTTTCTTCATTTCATTATTCAAATATTGTATTTTCGCGAGTAAAAAGAAATTTGTAAAACTTGCCTGGGGGACCTAAAATCGTACATAAAATGTAAAGAAGGAAATTTGTTACGAACAGGATGAAAAGAAATTTAATTGCTTTGAAAATTTAAATATCTCGATTCGTACCTGGCGGTCCAGGAGGACCTTCGATTATACCCGTGGGAAATTGTCCATCGTTACTGATTGTTTGTGTATATCCTCTATCTCCCTTATCACCTTTTTCGCCTGTATCACCTGAAGAGGATTATTAAAAAATTATTTTAATGCTTCTTACAATTCAAAAATTTATGTTTTTATTTGAAAAGTTTTTAAAATTCTTAAAGACGTCACGGAAAATCATTTATTCGGTATTTGGAAGAATGAAGTTAATATAAAGAGAATTTTGACTAGAAAAATGAACATTAGAAGACTTTTCAGCTTCATTAGCCACGAAAATGTTTTGAATATTAAATATTTCAAGAATTTAATGATTTTATGGAACAAATTTGAAAGACCTTTCGGCAATTCTTTAAGAACTTTTTAAAGCAATTTGTGGTTTTCAAAAAATGTTCTAATCAATTTTGTTAAGTTTATATTATTTCAAAGATAAAACTTTACGGCAGATAGTAAACCTCACCTTTAGGCCCTTTTTCTCCAGCCTCACCAGGTTCTCCAGGAGGTCTAAATACAAGATTTTGTAAATAAAACTGCTTTATTTTAAACATAACTAAGATGTTCTTACCCCGGTGGTCTGAAAAATAAATGAAAATCAATCAAAATTGTGAGAAGAATTTATTTTCAAAATCAAACATTTTTTGATGATTAAACCTTAATTTAGATATGATCATTAGTTTATTATGCAGCAAACGTTCTAGCAATTACTTAGAAACATTTATATTTCAGTGAATTTCAATTTGATTTGATCAATATTTTGCAATTATGAAGCTATGATTTTAATTCACATACATCAAGGACTTTTGTGAATTTTCATATGCTGCCAGATAATCAAAAATTCATAAGCAATTAAGTTTGATTGAGTGACAAAATTAAAATAAGTATTAAAACTAAAAGCCACCATCATCAACTCGATAATTAGATTCATTTTCATGTAACATAATTTAGTGAATATACAAGCGCAGTTTTCATCATCAAACATGTTTTTTTAATTAATTATTATAAATAAATTACTCACCCTCCTTCTCCTTTCGTTCCTTGTTCACCTTTTGATTATAGAGAGATTTTAATCAATAACTTAATCAATACACCTCAACTCACCTTGTACTCCAGGTCTACCATCATGGCCAGGAATTCCTGCAGGTCCAATTGGTCCAGGTGGTCTATATAAAATGCAATTTGATATTAATCAATCAAACAATCAAATCAAATTTAATTTTTAAACTCACCCAGGCTCTCCTGGCTCTCCCTATATAATTAACATTAAATCATAATTTGCAGCAATGACGGCAGATGAAGACGAAAACAAATTGAAATAAAATATGAACGAAAATGGGAGAAAGAGAGAGAGATAAAAATAAATTAAAATGTTTTTCATCATTCAACTATATTTTCTGTGCAATGCAACAAAAAATAATAATAATTTACTGCTTTCATCATGCAAAATATGTTAACGTTCAATTAGCAGTATAATAATAAATTATGCCAACAATATAAAAGCATGCATAGAGATATATCTATAATATGAAATTCTCTTTACTTTAGCAATATAGATTTGGGCAATTCTAGGGATAGATAATTTTCTTTATGTTCTATTTTTTGGGGATATTGACATGGAAATGATTAGGACCTGTTGTCAAAAACTCTTTGAATAAAATTAGGGATAACTAGGAGTTTCAGACATCTTCCAGAAAAATAGAGGGAGTCCATAATTATAACTGGTTTTATTCGGTTTCTGGACGATTTTAATTTAATGCCTTGAGTCTAAAGATTAGTTCTTCCCTGCCAATATCCAAAAATCCTGATAATAAATATTCTCTACCACCCATAAAATTGCCCACACAAAATCAACATATAAATGTTATAAAGTAAACAAAGCATAGCAGAGAAAAACTTTATCCAACATACAGTAATTAATCTGTTATATTACTTAATTTAAATGTATAGAAAATAAAATGAGAAAAATAAACTTTTTTTTGCAGTGCCGTTTTTCAAAAAAAAAAGACTACGACTTTGTAAAACAACAATGACAATAAAAACGACGAAATGGCATGAAAAAGTAAAGGAAAACTTTTTCCATTCATTCATTTATTTTATATTTTTTTACATTTTTCATTATTAAATTCTGGTTCATAAAGTTGATTCCCACTTTTTACGTTCAGCATTCAACATTGCATACAAATGGGATTTTTGTGTCGAGACAGAGACAGAGTAAAAGAGAGTATGCAGCAACAATATAGAAAGAATAGAATTATTGCATATGCATGCCAGAGTTAATTATTTTTATTAGGCTACTCACTTTCAAGTGTATTATTGTGGCAGCTGAAACGTTATGTCCCGCAGCTTGCAAACCCTTTTAGTATTTTTATTTATTATTATTGCATATTTTTTAGTTTAATTAATTCATTGTGATGTGTAAGAAGAGAATAATAAAAAAAATTATTTGTGCAAATATTGCTAATAATTATTATGATGATTTTTATTAGAATTTTTATTCATTGTGTATATATGGAATCATCGAGTGATGATGAAAAGAAATAAAAATGAGTGAATGTGAAGATTTTTGCATTAATGACATGAGAGTAAGAAGAAGAAAGAAAATAGAGAAGGGTGGGACAATTAGTATCTTGAAAATATTTTTTGTGCAGATTTGCGGGAAATATTTTGGTTCCTTTATGATTTGTTTTTATGGAGTTGCTCAGCTAGATTTTTGGTCCTACTTCCCTAGCCCGAATGGCACAAGTCGGTTAATTAATCAAAAATCCGGCACCAAGTTAGTGTGACTCTGGTATGGTGCTGGATTTATATAAAAGCTGGCTGAACGCTGCATTTCTATTCGATTAACCGACTTGTGCCATTCGGGGAGATTGATTTATATCATATTTAACTAGAGTATGGTGCCCAAGACCCTAATTTGTAATTAAAACACCCAACTCAGTCCTATTTTTGTCCATACTTAATTAAAATAAACTCGGTAATAAACATTAAAGTCGATTATTCCATCAAAAACCATTCAATCATGGCACAAAACAAATAAATATTGAACAGTCAATTCAATTATAGACGATAATAGCAGCTCGACTTCAATTAAAATTATTCACTAAGTCGTAATCAATTATATTCATAATTAATTTAAAAGGAAAAGTTTTTATATAAAATATTCAAGACCAGCCTCTCCGATCAACAGTTTTTCCTCCCATTGCATTTTGTTTTTTGTTTTTTTAATAATTCACAACTTTTTCCTCGGCTTGTTCATCCATCGACAACCCACGCAATAAATATAAAGCAAATTTTTCTCATGAAACTTTATTAAGTATAAACTGTGAAAAAAATTTAAGTGCATTTTTACTACAAAGTTTTTAAAAAGTGGATATTAATAACATTATTAAGCATGCATTGCAGTTGTAGAAAAAGAGTTGGAAGCGATGCGAGAAAATTTTATTTCTCCACTTCACATATTTATTAATTAGAGTAATTTTTATCATCATATTCAGCCTTTTTCCCCACTACTGATGCCATCGCACGTTGTTGCGGCAAGGCAATAAAATGTTCAGATATATGCGGTGCATATCATCACGACAGAAATTATAAAAGATTGTGAAAATTGTGCAGAAAGAATCATCCTCTCGAGGGATGTGAATTCATTCGTGATTTTTTTGCGCAATTTTCGAAATGTTGGGGATTGTTGAAGAACAGATTGGTAAGCTGTCTAGTGTTTAACTAGATTCACTGGTTTTGACAAGAAATGAACATCATTTGGTTAAATAATTTGAACTATTCAGTGAGTTTTAGTGATTTTGTTGATATTAGCGACAAAAAAGGATCGCTATTTTGCTACAGAATTAAAACTAGAAATGAGGGGGGGGGTGATTATTCCCCCCCCCCCTCACCATTCTGGTTACGCTTCTTGTTTATGTTTTCAAGACTAAGTTTATTTATTGATATTTCTAAAGAATCATTCGTCCCTTATTTGGTTTTTTTAAGTAAGTAAAACCACAAATTTCAATAATTGCGCCATAATCAGCTAATGTAGTGCCAACCTTACCTAGAGATTTTTCATCATTCATTTTTTAATTCATTCATTATTTTCATGTAAGTCAGATATGAGTTTGAGTCATACGATGTGCTGTTTTTTGCTCTTCGTACATTCAGTGCTTTACACTCATAATATTCAGTGTATGTGGGTGGAAGTGATCTGTCAAAGTGTCGTTCTCTTCCAAACGATATGTTGAGATTTTTCCACAAAAAATATATAAAATAATCTACTCAGTGTATTAAAATAAGCTACAGCTATTGTTAGGGGAAAAATTCCAACTAATTTGCATACTTTTTTACCAAGAGATGCAAAAAAAAAATTTAAAGCCATGAAGCGACATATCTCAACTGGATTAATAAACTACAGCAAATATTAAAACCACCGAAGCAAATAAAAAAAAAATCTAGTAAAATAATATTAAAGCAACTAAGTTAATCTGACTAAGAATGATTTGTTGTGTATTAAAAAAAGCAGTCAGCTCTTTGTAAATACCTTTACTGCAACTATCTCTGCATAACCTAATGAGCCGCCTCTTAGTGTTGTCACTGATCTTTTTAATCCCTGCTTGATTTTGAAAAGTTTTTCATTTTTATAAAAAATAATAAAATTAAATTAAAGAAAATGGAAATAGGAAATGAACGAGAAAAAAGGAAAAAAGAAAGTTTTTTAAGAGTTTGTGGGATAAAATGAACATAAAATGGAATGGGACATGAATGTATGAGATTAAAAAAGGGTTTAGAAATATATGGCATTGTTAAAGCTTCAACATTTCTCTATAATTTTAACTTTCCTGATCTTCATTCTCCATGTTTTGTCATCATTATTTTTTGGGTGACTTGCATGAAGGGATAGATAAAGTTTTTAAGGAAATTATGAAGGATTATGAAGAAATGTCCAAGTTTTCCATGCCTTTTATTTTTTAGGAATCATGACGTAAAAGTACAAAATGTGAATGACGTTTTCTTGATGGATAATCTGGATCAAACTTAATCTCCACCAACTCGTAACATATTCAACATTTAAACTTCTTTTTATCTTTCTAAACCCCTTTCGAAATTTACCTATTCTTTTTCAATTTACCTTCACTGTTGAAAAGACATCAACACCAGCACTTGATGACCCATCACCTTTTTGACCCTTATCACCTTGTCTACCCTGTAATTAAGAAAACAATTATCAGTGTTCATATAAACATATGTTGTACGGATGCTGTAGCTTGTATATCTTTAAAGAGATATAAATTTTGATTGTCTGCATTCCAGTACTTTGTTAAAAAAAGCTACATAAAATATAAAAGAAGCAATTGCTTTACTTACCGGCTCTCCTTTTGGTCCATCTAACCCAATCGGACCTGATGATAAAGAAAATAATCCGCTCGTTAAAATCATAATTAAATCAACATCAAAATCTATCAGTATCTTACCTTGATGACCTGGATTTCCTTGCTGACCTTTTGGTCCCTATTAAAATATTCAGAGAATCTTTAGTCATTGCCATTCTTATTAAAATTTCATATCTTTTAAACATGAGAAATTTGCATTATTAAAAATCCACGTAGCTTTTAAACTTTATCTTTCATATTCATTAAAGATAATTCCCTAGAAGATGAATACATCTAGTATCTTCAATTTTCATCTCATCTTTATGCTTCATTATTAAAACTTTACTTCTTAAAGAAAATCGAGAGCGAAAGAAATTATTTTTGAATTAAAGTTTTGAGCATAAAGGAAAACATGAAACAACACATAAATTGCCCGATAGCAAGGAAAACTATTATAAAAGAATAGTTTTTTGCTAAAAAGAGAGAATAATGGTTTGTTGATGAGAAAATGACGGTGTTATGGGGTAGAATAACACAATCAACATCTACATCTGGTGAGAAACAACAAGGAAAAAAAGGTATTACAGAGGAAATGTTGAGTACAAAAAAAAAATTTCTTACATATGGGGTCGTTCACTTATGACGTCCATCAAAAAACCTGATTTTTAGACCCCACCCCCCTCTCCCCCTCTGTCACAAAAATTCCATAGAAAAAAATTTCCATTGTTCCACTGTCACAAAATCCTAGACCCCCCTCCCCCCCCCCCCCCCCTAAATGTCGGACGTCATAAGTGGACGTCATATGTAAACATTTTGTTTCAAAAAATGTGAGGATTGAAGGAAAATAGTTTGGATAGGGCTCAAAAATAAAGGAACAAAATTTAAAGGATTTCTTCTTTAGAAAACATGCAATTTTAAAAGCTTTAAAGGAGATCGAATACCAAGCCATGGTTCTATACCCTAAAAGACAAATGTATGTACCGTAACATACTCAAGAGCATATTTTGAACATATAATAATAATAATAATGCGCCAGCCTTTCAGCTGGAGGCACTGCGATTCAATTTGTAAAGCATCTATTGTATTATACCATTTAGACCTACAGTTTACAGTAGGATCCGAACCACTTGCAAGATCTGCACATTGCAAAGACACGAGTACGTCATAAGACCTGATGTTTTCTGCAATGTACCCAGTCACAATTCCTGTGCGCAAGATGTCGTAAGGAAGCATCCATAGCATCAGTGTATACCTAGCAAAGGAGGCATATTCTGTGCCAAAGACATCGTAGTATTGATATCCAACACACGAACCGGACTAGAACGGTTAAATGGAAAATGAGCTTCGAAATCAGACATAGCCTGGGATTGAACCCAGGACCTTTGGTACGGAAGGCCAGTATAGAGTATACTCACTTGTCTGATAGGGATAGATTATCCCAACAGTACCTCCGGCTCATCGCATCATTTTCATCACATCCCCATCCAAAATATTATCATTGAATCAGGTAGTTAAATTAAAATAATCAGCACCAAACAATCCTAAACTAGAAAACTTGCGCTAATAATGAAAGGAACAATAAACAAGTAACAAAGAGGAAAACAACAGAAAGTAGAAGTTTAGTTGAGCAGAAAGTGGAAGCGCTAGAGAAAAAAATGTTTCTCCTTCTATCCTTCTTCCATCCTATATATTATTTCAACAGCAGCAGCAGCAGTAGTAACAATAATAATAGTCACAACAGTGAGAAGAAAATAAGAAGAAGGAGAAACAAAAGTTGAAACAATTTCATGCGGATTATTTAGCAGGAAAATTAGTGATGTTAAAGCACGACTGAATGGAATGAGTGGAATGAAATATGCTCTCATTTAAGTCTGCATTTATTGTTTCAAAGGAAAAACTTTATTACAACAAAAACGCACAGAACTAAAGTGAATGAATTCATGTTTCAAGAGCTTAGCTTTTAGAAGCAAAATGAAAAGTTTTATAACTGATAAAAAACATGAAAAGAACAATTTTAAAATGTCACAAAGATTCCTCGACTATTGTTCCTTTTGTAATAAGGAGACTGTGACACGACATAAATGAAGTTGAAGTGCCAGAATAGAGGAAAGTCAAGAAGGAAAAAGGTCTTTATGGAAATTTTATCTCACACCGATTTAAATATTTGTAAATGAACATCGTGACCTTTTTGTAGGTTCTCACCTTTTCTGACTTGTACTTTTTTAAAAGGAAAGAAAATTTTTGTGGGTAACGGATTTGAATATTTCAGATTTATTTGAGCTTAAAAATACATTCAGATATTTTTCTGATTTAAATGTTGAGCTGCTTTAGTGACTTAATGATGCGTAGAAAATTCAGCACCTTTCTAAGTCTGATCTCAAATTGAAAGTCAAGTCAAAAAAAGGATAATTTTCAAACACTTGAGCAGCAAATTGATGGAAACAGAATCAAACATTTCCAAGAAATTCTCACATAAAATCTCTGTTCAGCACAAGTTTAACCACATTATCCATCAACCAGCATATTAGTCACAAGTTCACAGTAAATATTCCATTTCATAACATGACATTTACATAATATCGCATAAAATTACTTAAGGAAATTCCTCGACACTCATCAGCAACAAATTCATTCTATTTCATAGCCATGTTCTTCGCACAACATTTCGCACATTATAATCATGTTAGAGTCGTAATTTGATATGCCGCTGTTCAATTTATCAGAGTAGATGGTAGACAGCAGAAAAATTTATGAACATCCGCCTTATTGTTGTTGATGTTGTCGTTTTTGCTGTTATTGCTACACTTCATAAATCATTGGATATATTTGCAAAAATAAAACATTTTCATCGTGCAGCAACTTTTTGGAATAGAAAGAGGTTTCATGTTCTGTTTGACTGATTAAGTGACCATTAAGACTCTGAGTACGGTTTGGATTGTATTGCTTCTTGACGGAACTTATGAGAAACTGTGTAATATTTGTGAGGAACTGAAAGATTAATTTGAGAATTTTTCTGAATTCTTCAAAAAAGGCGCTTAAATTTTTAAAGTCAATAGAGCTCAGATACCACATCATATACTGTTTCAGCACCATCTACCATTATTCATTCTATTATTTTAATCCAGTAAATGTTTTCTCAAAATATGAAGATTAAACTAGCTGTAACACGATATTTACACAAGTTTATGCAAATTTCTCAGTAGAAAAAGAATGTTATACAAACTTACGGGTGTGCCTGAGTCACCTGAATCTCCTTTCTTCCCTCTGTGAAAATAACATTCAAGATAGTTCATGTTTCGGTTGTTTAACTTGATGAGGCTTCATTATCATCCAAATTTCTGTACTTACCTCTTTCCTCGTTTCCCCGGAAGACCCGGAGGACCTTAAAAATAGAAATAAAAACAAGCAAGGATTAACATAAACATTTAATCAACAATGGTTTTTAGAAGAAAAATAATTTTACATTCACGCTATGAAGATGGATTTGGTACCTTTAGTGAAAATTTAAGAACTATGAAAAGTTTTCTTAAACAAATAAGGAAGTAAGGCAAAGTAAAGTTTACTGAAGGGAGTATCGAGTGAGATTTATGAAAAGAATTTCATGTCTTCATCTTCATCGTCGGCTAAGACGAATATTGAAGAATATTTCTTGCTGCTTCTTCTTGCGGATAATCCTGAAATGGGAATTCTATGCAAATTTTCCTCAATTTTCCACAAAACGGGGAGAGTTGAGTGGAAAACTTTCTCTTTTCTAAATGCATAAAATTGTTTTTTTTTTTACTATTATTATTTTATTTTCTTCTTCTTTATTAAATCTTTCTTTTAAGGAGGGAATTGCGATTGAAATTGGATATTAAAATAAAATATCTTCCTGCTTGATTTCAATTCTGATGAATTTTTGGAATTTTTTTTTATGTTTGCATTATGATTATGGTGACTTTTATAAACGAGGCAGAGTTGATAATGTTCAGCTATAACTTTAAGGACTTTGTTTTACATTCGTGAAATAAGTTATAAATTTAGAATTGACTACATTGGTTCCTAATAATTTGATATTATTTTCCATACATATATACATGACCAAAGAACTCATTGAAAGAGGCTGTTGATAGTGACAGTGTTGCAATTGGAATCGGCAATTGGTAGACGGTAGCCAGAGATAGAACTAGTTTTAGGGGACGGCTAAGAGAGGTCATGGATCACAATTGATCTTTACGACTAGCGAAGTAAGTAAGTACATATATACGTACATCCCCTAGCGAGACTAACTAGCAAATTGCTAGTCTTTCTATTTTACTACTTGCAATTTACTAGTAATTATTAAAACAACTTACTGTTAGAAAATTACACTTGCTATTTACTAGCAAATTACTAGCAAATTACCATGTAAAATGTTTGATTAAATCTTCTTAAGTTCGAATCCTACGAAAAATCATCAAAAAAAGAATTTTTTGCGTCATAAAGAATTTTGTTCTAAATTTGGCATTTGCCATATACTTCACAAGAGCGCGCAGAAATCACCTTTATAAGGTCGATACAAATTTGTATGTGACATTCAATTAATTATTTATCTTCCTCAGGTTTGCGTGCGAGTCATGGGCGTTCATCAGTGTTCGACTTAATTAAATTAAGTCTTTTGCTTTTTTTCGTAGTATTAGTGTACTTTAATTAATTAAACTAAGTACACACTAATACTTTTACAATAATTTACACAAATAAAAAAAAATCAAAAGAACACGTGGAAATCAACGGTTATATTCATTTAATTTTTTTCCAAATTTGCTAGTAAATTACTAGTTAAATTGCAAGCGAATTGACTAGTCAAATAGCAAGTGAAAATGCGGGTCTTTGGCGATGATTTGAACTTGGATTTTGACTAGTAAATAGCAAGTAGCAAATGGAAAGTTATCTAGTGAATTACTAGGAAATTACTAGTAAATTTCTGCTAGGGATCGCTGGCTTTACAAATCAATTGTGATTCATAGCCTCCCTGAGTTGTCATCTGAAAAGACTCCACTGTGGCAATCGCCAATACCATATGCAAAGCTATCTCTAGAAACAGCTTCCTTCCAGAAATTCTTTGGTTGATTATTTTCCATAAAAACTTTAAAGTCCAAATTAAAAACACCAACTCTGTCATATGATGCACAGTAAGGAAAACGTTTAAACGCAAATGCGACCAAGATTGAGCAACAAAGATGAAGATAACGATGATTGTTTCCTTTTTCTTCAACTTTTCTGGTAAAGTTATTTTCCAAAGTCTGTACTGTGTCAATGTACTTTATCAGATTTCAGTTTATTATACAGTCAGTAAATCCATAATAACTTATGAGTCAGAGGTAAGAGCAAACTTATGCAATACTTAGAGCTATATCAATATTTGATATGTACATAATCATGTTATATGACATTTGATACGAGCATGTTAGGAAAAGGTAGAGAATAAAAATAGCTTTAAGGCACACAACAAGTCAAACATTAGATATTGGCTGAATTTGGTGCTATTTTTAAGTCTAGAGTTTCTTTTAAGCAGTACAATATGTCATGGACAGGGATTCATTTTTGGAAGGATTCTTTTATATAAAAAACAATATCATGACATGGGTCAGTGTTGTTAAATAAATGACAGGTAGACCAGTTACTATTTACTATAAACTTTCTGCTTGATGGCTCCTTTTTCGGAAATTAAAGCTATCCCATATCATTGAATTCTTTTTAATAAATTCTGTAGAAAAATTAAAGTAGTTCCTAAATGAGCTATTAATTTACCTCCAATAAAAACAATTTAACAAAATTAAACAATAAAGAAAATTCCCAAACCTATTATGTCATAAATAATCTGAATACCAGTAATGTTATGTTCCCTAGGAGATTTGTAAATTGACAATAATTAATACTCCTTCAATCAATACACAAGCGGCAACTTTCCATTTCAATGTTTGAAAGACATAAACAAATAAAATAATAAAAAATAAAAAAAGCATTTTTCCTCGTGTTCTAGATTGAAATTGATTTACAGCCGTTAATGCTATCTGTCAACATTCAACATGACCAATAAATTTTCACATTAATCACAAAGAAATGTGAATAATAAGAGGTGGATGGAAATAAAGTTTGTTCTAAAATTAATAATTCATTGCGCCATTAAACGCATTTTATGGAATTCAAGATCCAGCGGAAGTCAAATAATTCCAGCAAGTTCCAGCAAAAAATGATTAAACTTTTAAATTTGGATTATCTAGAGCAAAGAACTGTCAATACATTCTCTATACACCACTTCGAGCATCTTAAGCCTTTGCATTATTTCTAGTCTAAACAACTGTCTTATATCATAGACAGACATGCTATAATACATCCTATCTTTTCATATTACCACGTTAAAAATAGAGAAATAGAAAAAAATGCGGAAAGAAACTCACGAGCACTCAGTCAGTCAGGAAGGAATTTCTTCTGGCAAGAAGTGGAAAAACAAATTCATTTATTTTTATTTCAAATTTGAATTTAAGCAGCAACACCTGATTGCTAACGAAAGCATAAATCATTTTATCAAAAGCAGCCGTAGAAGAATGACGGCAATGTTGGCATTCTTTTGAGTGCTTCATCGCTTCTCATCATGCTGTTCATTTCTTCGTTATTCAATTTTTTTTTTTTTATAAAATAACATGTATATTTCTAGTTGAAGGAAAGGTGGAATGATATATGATTGCATGCTGCATACACTTATTTTCACGACACTCCTCCATTCTCCCATAAACATGCCTTCCTTTACTGGAAAAATTAAGATGTATGAATGTGTATGAAATTTTAAAATATTTCATCACAATGTTAAACTTTTGACAGTTTTCCTTCCACATTGTTTCTTCTTTTTCCTCTTGTTATCCTCCTACATGCTCGCCTGAAGTGGCATAGAAACTCAAGGAGAGATAAATTTAGGAAAAAGTTTTGTTGTTCAAGTATTTTTGGAATGCGAAAAGTTTACAATTTCAATAAAATATTGTAAAATGGAAAAGATTCTTAATAAACTCTTTACAAAGTTCACTTCATTTTAAGCCATAAAAATCACGTCTGCTACTTTGAGCATGTTTATCGTGTTATTACCAAACACATGGGGAGCACCCGTCGGTTTGTTTTTGTTCTTATCAAGAGAAGAGGTTGTTTATATTAAGGAAATAATTTGCTTCTTATGATTGCCACTTTTTTAGATAAGATTAAATGCAAAAATGGCATCAAATCAATATTTGTAGATGAAATATTTTAAAAATAATTCTTGAAGTGGAAAAAATTTAAAAAAAATTTTCAAATGTAAGCTACAATTTGTTTCAAATACTTCAAAGATTTCTTCAAATAAAAAGCAAGGCAATGCTGAACCATTCATCCACACAATCCAATTTCCTTACTCGGTTTTGTCTCCCACTTCTCAGCACTTAAAGTCTCATTGTAATTTAACAATTTGTCATCCAACATACGTGAATGCGATGAAAAATGGACATCATAAAAATTGATAACGCAGTCACAGGAAATTATAAACTTTTATTTCATGTCCAAATAACAATTTCCGTTTCTCCATTATTACTAGTCTCTTTATTACTTCACCTTATGGAAAGAAATGCGAGAAAATTGAGGCACTAACAAACATCTGTGATATCTCAATTTTGTCATCTGCTTATGTATGAAATCGTTCATAAATTGTGTGAATGAAAAGAGAATAGAAGCTGGATTTCATAAACTTTATGTAACATTATTTTTTCAACTGGCCAACAAATAATAATGGTGATGATGTCTAAGCACATCCAATTGAGAGGCTAGATGGAAAAATGACTTCCGAAAAAAAAGAGGAAGAAGAAAAAAATTGAAAAGCCTGAGAAGATAAATGTGAAAAGATGAGCATAAATTTTCTTGAGGGATTTTCATGGAAATTGATACAACGCACTTGAAAGTTTTATTGAGCATAAGCTTTCATTGAAATGTTGCTATTTTTTATGTTCTGCTCAGGCGCGTAGTCAGGAGGGTATTGCCCCCCTCTTAAGCGTTTTAGACCGTGCTCTCGCCGTGGTTCAAAACGTTTAAGGGGGGGGGGGCAAGACCCTCCTGGCTACGCACCTGGTTCTGCTAGACAGTTGCTGTAGATTGGATTGTAAAATTTATATTTCAATATCTTTACTAATGTTGAATTATTTTTATTTAAATAATATCCAAAGGAGCTAATCGAATGAATCGACTTATTCCTAATTTTGTGAATTTCTTGCTTCAAATCTTCAAAATCACTTCCATCTAGTTCTTCCTTCTTCATCTTATCATTTTATTTTCACTTGATGCCCTTTTTTCATTCATATGCAAATTAAATGTCTTGAATTTTACCCCAGTTTCTAATTTTATTTGTGC